GGCTTCAAGGGGACATAACATCAATGGCGACTACAAATGTGATTTCTTCCCTTGCTGCTGGTAACTAAGTTACAGAAACAACTTAAAATTTAAATCACGCATTTCAAAAATTACAACAACACATTTCATACAATATAGTTTCAATAATATTTATTCGTATATATGCATGTTTGATAAGGCTCCCAAAACCAATACGTTTTAAGTTACTGCAATTTGTTGTAAAGCTGTCATTTTGAGCATATTTATTTTATAGAATGGTTGTATAGTTTGTAATGAAATTCAGCTTAAATGAAAATTTTCATTCAAGTTAAGTGCGACCTATGCTTTTGGTATACAAATTTTTGTTTTAGCGTGTGACATAACATATCAATCTGCTAAACATCTATGCAAGATTAATTCAAAATCATTACTGCCAGTCATGGATCAGAAACTGCCATCTATTTACATCATATTAATACATTGGTTGTACAAATGTGACCTCGATCTTTAAGTTGGAGACCTGACTCGTGGGCGCGATACATCGTATCCAAAACATTATGCCATATAATTTCAAAATCAATCCAGTTATGACAGAAAAATTGAGTTGGCTTGACCATGTGAGCTTGTACAACTGCATGAATGACTTTTCCTTTGTTACTTCATACCGTTAAGTCTCCAGCATAGCTGCAGAAGGTCAATGTCAACATTGCCATTAACTTCAGAATAACTTGTTCCGAGAGTTCCAGACACACAGGCTATCTGAGACAGCATGTGAAATGCTAAACAAATAACAGATCAACTAAAGCCGTTAAACCTCTAGAAATAAGAGAAGGTGTTAGAAGTTCAAATTTGAAAATGTGAAGTTTAAATTAAATAATTGACATTTATTCAAACCACGAAAAATAAAGGACGTTTGAAAAACTGAAATTAGTGGAAGAAAGCAATTTGCCGAGAAAGTTAACATAAATGTGTTTTGTTTTCTTTTAGGTGTTCTTGCATTGGTAGTAGTTGGTAAAACAGCAAGTGATGTACACGCTGAATATGAATTATGGGTTGAAACGGAGAAAGATACAGATTTCAAGCTTGGCTTCCTTTACTCTGCAATGTTGATGGGACTGGGAGGAACTTTGAACGTCTTGATATTCATTGCGTTGTGTGTTCAAATTTACTACAGAAAGAGGGACATGAATGAATCTGATAGAGAGGATGAATCTGTCGGCATGACGTAAGAACATTCTCTCAATTAACGCAAAAGTGAAATTTGTAATACTAGTACAGTCTTAAGAGAGTTAAGTTTCAACACTTACAGATACAAGTAAAGGGTTTCTTTGTAAGACATTTTACATTTGCAATGTACATGTTTCTGAATTAAAATGAACCGAAATGTTCCACGAGTTAACAAAATAGAGTAAACGAAATCACTTAAGAACGCCAAAACGACAAAATTGAAAATGTTGCAGGCTCGGTTTGATTGAGCTTGTTCATGGATGGTACTGGAAAGTGCAAGTTACCGTCCGCGCCCCACTAGCACCGGCTTAAACAGAAAACAAGAAACTGTCTTGATTTTATGTATTGAATCGGTTATACAGATGTTTTTGACGTAAAAAAAATAGTAAAAAGCAACTAAAGACTGTTTCATTATGTCAGATCAGGATCCATGCTGTTCGCTATCAGTTTCTCTACTTGGTATAGGGTTTGTAAGCGAACAACATGGATCCTGATCAGACTGCGCGGATGCGCAGATTGGTCTGGATCCATGCTGGTCGCAAACGCACTATGTTGGTTTTGTCATGACGCGGCTAAAATTTAGAACAAACCCCTCAATCAGATAACTCAAGACATTGTATATTGTCTATATCAACACATAATTTTTGTACCGTCTCATTTTCTATTTTATAAAAATTAATTAATTACAGTAACAATAAGTACTTTTTTTATCTCGTACAAAACACTATAAATATCGTTTATTTCTAAAGATGAATTAACATATTGTTGAAATAGTACCATTAAAGTAAATCCACTGAGGTCAAAAAGCCTAAAATTATAAGATATTAATTTCTCACATCTATAGATCAACTGAGACACTTAAAACGGAAATATTTACAAAAGTTCAATAAATAATATACTCAGAAATACATTAAAATCGTATGTTTTTTTTTTAGTTCCGAATTGAGTGAAAAGCGTTACAACGCTTTTGAATTTTGGGTAATTTTTCACAGTAGTCCAGTGGTAGGACGCGCGCTTAGGGATCGAGAGGTCCTGGGTTCGAACCCCACCAGGGGCACTGCTAGTTTCCTTGAGCAAGAAATTTACCTGCGATTGCTTCACTTCACCAGGTGTAAATGGGTACCTGCGAGGGTGGTATAATTCGTTGCGCCAAAGTGTCGGCTGCACTAAGCGGAGTTAAAAGACTCCCCAGGAAGATTGATAGATACCAGTAGCCCGATGACCAGGGGTAATAGCTGTAAAGTCAGTGAACGTGCGTAAGCATGAAACTTAGACTATAAAATGCAATTGCTTTTACAATAAGAATAGCTATTCTGGAAACTTGGATCAGCTTATGATCTTAAAGTTTGCACATAATTAAGTTGTTGGTATAGACTACATGAAACTGAGTAATAATCTCGAAAAATTATTTTCAGTCCCGTCAACAACACAACAACAACACGTCTTTTATTCACTCAAACATGCATATAACATGCAATATGAGGATAATGTCAAAAAGTTTAACGAGGCATTTATACAAATTGAGATCAGACTATAATTACTAAACAATATCAACATATCAATAACATATTATTTAATTATATGCATATTTTGCCTTAGAAACACTTTTTTAAACTTTTTAAGAAAGTGCAAACATGAATTTTACAACATTTAATTTTAAATATTGCTTAAACAGAATGTAAGATATTTGTTACTAGGAGAAAAAAGCTATAAATGTGATATAATTTATCATAAAAGTTGTAAAATGTAAATAAAGTAGTATTTTAACTTTTATACAAAATACTAATTCACTATACTTGTATTTATTTCTAAAAAGCAACAGTGGAAATGAAAGACGATTCATGTAATAAGCCAGTGATTAATCTTTTAATACTATAAAAGTACAGCAAAAACTTAGTCTTATGAGAAATGAAAATAGAAGTATATGTGAGGCATAAAGGACCTTTGCTGTATAGTAAGAAAGTGGTAAGTGAATATCAGTAAAACAAAAATATATCTCAGAACATTACAAAATCACAACTGACTTTAAAATGAAAACATAAATATTTGATTACATTCTTACATTTCTTATAATTATCATTAAGAATTTATAAAATGCAGGTGAATCTTTCATTGTAAAAAGTTGTTCTAATTTATAAATATTAGGACGTCTATAAAAATAAGGTTTTATAAATTGTCTTCTTTCATTAGACAATCTTTTACATTCATAAAGACAATGAAACTCATCACCGATTATATTTCTACAAAAAATGCAAATTCTTTCATTAATAGGTATATTTGACTAATTTCCAGTTTCAACTGGTAATCTATGGTTTCTTGTTCTGAATTTGACATAATAAAAAATAATTGCATTTTGGGAGTAGAAAGATAAGGTTCAATTCCAAAAGACTTTTTAAAAAATTTGTAAAAAGAACTGTTGCTCGATTCATTTATCTTTGAATACCATTCATTTAAGAAAAGATCTTTTAGCTTTTGTTTTACTGTTACTTTTAACCATTTGGTACTTGGAAAATTATGATCAATCGAAACATTGTAGATACCGCATTTTATTAGGATTGATTTTAAATTATAAATCCACGGATAATTACGTTCAAAATCATTATCATTAATATTTATTGTATTTCTTAGCATCTGATGATATACAAAGTATGATAATTTATTTGGTATTAAATCATTTTCGTTCTGAAGGAGACGCGCCCAAAATGAAACTATTCTTTCCCCAATATCTAAAGACAATGGCATGCATCCCGTTTCACCGTATATGAAATAACTGGCCGTCGAAGGTTTAAGTTTAAGGATGCCTTTTAAAAATTTGAGTTGTACGCATTCAATATAACGTCGAGATTACCGTATCCATCATGTGAAAAAAATCTCATTGGAGTCCCTTTAATCTATGGCATCCATATTATTATGAATATTTGGATTAAAAGTGATCCCCGGAATAATTAAATCAGGAAAATTACATAAAAATTGCAGACTCGGTTTGGACGAGTCTGTACATGAGGGATTATGACAAAGTGCAACATCCTCACGCCCCCCACCCCCCCCCGGCACGGGCTTGAACGTCACTCAATTTTTAACACTTAATGTGCTGGAATCAATGATCCCGAAAGACCAGAACAATATAAAACACTGAAGTGGAGTACGGAACGTTTTTAAGGTTGCCACACGGCACTTTACACCTGATGCTGTGATGTATAAATATCTGGAAAAAAATTAATTTCTAAAACATCTACATTCAAATCATGACACGTAGTATGTTGTAGGATCATCGGCGTACATGTATACATGTTGTACATGTGTATTACCATTGTTGTGGCTAATGGTACATGTATATAATAAAAATATAAGTGATCCAAGAATGGAACCTTGATAAAAGATATTTACAACTTGTATTTACATTGGTTCTCTTAATTAGATAAGTTTTGGAAAACTGGACTTATTGTTCTGAGATATTAAAAGTTATAACTCAAGCAACAAGCAGTGTTATATTTTTTCTCCCGTAATTATCTTTTAAGACTGTGAAATATGATGCGGGTTTAGCAATAGAAGTTCCATCCTTCTTTTTACGAATCAATGAAACAGTTGATGCAGTTTGCTTGGTTAGTAAGCTTGTTAAGCAAACACATGTATAAGCATAAATTAATGTACGAATTAATAAAACACAAGCTATATGTCAATGGCGTTACGTTTTAAAGTATACGTACATATAACATAGTTTACGTTGCAATGTAATTTATATCAATCACCTACACAAGATGACAACTTGTTACATAATTACTGTAATTAACATAATACACAACGCATCACAGATGAAACTTAACCAACCAAATAATGAATCAAGTTAATGTTAACGAAATTTTACTTTTTAGGTTACATAGCAGTTGCACATAACTGCAAGTTATTGTTATGCAAATGCAATGGATTACGAACGTGATCGCGTGAATAGATTCGTCTCAAGGAATACTAAAATAATTATAGGGCTATTAGTTTTCGCGATAATAGCCGGGATACTGCAAGGGGTTGGTTATGCCACACCAGGTTGGTTGGTCTTTTCAGGGACGAGTGACAGTAATGTGTCTTTTTCTGTCGGCATGGGGTTTTGGTATCAAAGATTTTGTACAGATAGTTGTGAAATTGGACATATGAACAGCGCATTATTCTGGTCAAAAGGTAATTGATTAAAATCAGCTGGACAGTCACAGTACTTTCATGAAGTATTTGGGTCATTTTTGACACAGCTGGGATAAAAGACCCCAAACGTTTACCCAAAAATGTAAAGTGTCCGCGTGGCTTAGAGTCTGTATCCCCAACTATGTCAAAATTAACCCAAAGCCACAAAGAGCCGCGACAGTCCCTCTGATTTAAATCGTTTGAGTTGTTTAATGATATTCTATGTTACAATGTTATATATATATATTTTAGATATTAAAAAAGGTTGGGTCAAAGTTATATCTAACATAATCGCTGGTTTATTTATTACCAAGTAAGAGCATTATTACTTAACATCTATAATTTACACTCTGTCTTGTCCAATATTTACTTGAAATTGATAACATGTATTTAAATATCACCAGTCAGAGTGTTTCTGTATAGTAAATGCACGGATTAACAGTTTCACTGGCTTATAGTGAGTGAAGAAGGTTTAGTTTGAAACCTTTCAATTGAAAACATCAATTAGATGCCACATGACTATAGTTAATCAGCACTTACAGTCTTACACAGATCACATTAGGTTATATGAATTACATTTCGAACTATGATAATTTAAGGCATATATTTGAAAAAAAAATCTGATCTGTCTAACAATGTTTGTTTAACCATATATCAATGTATACTGAAATTTAAATATATTACATTGTTTTGCTTATTTTTTGCAGATGATAAAAAAGAATTCGATACATATAAACTGATAGCGACTTTGGCAGTTGTGAGCAGTATTTCCGTTCCTATCACGTTGCCTATTTATCTAAGGAAGATTCGGCTTCAAGGGGACATAACATCAATGGCGACTACAAATGTGCTTTTTTCCATTGTTGCTGGTAACTAAGTAACAGAAACAACTTAAAATTTGAATCACGCATTTCAAAAATTACAACAACACATTTAACACAATATAGTTTAAATTATATTTATTCGTATATATGCATGTTTAAGAAATAAGGCTCCCAAAACCAATGCGTTTTTAGGTTCTGCAATTTGTTGAAAAGCTTTCATTTTGAGCATATTTATTTTATACATGTACAATGGTTGCATAGTTTGTAATGAAATTCAGCTTAAATGAAAATTTTCATTCAAGTTAAGTGCGACCTATGCTGTTGGTATACAAATTTTTGTTTTAGCGTGCGACATAACATATCAATCTGCTAAACATCTATGCATCATGAATGTCAGTCATGGACCCGAAACCACCATCTATAATATTTACATGATATTGATACAGTGGTTGTACAAACGTGACCTTAATCTTTTAAGCTGGAGACCTGACTCGTGCGCGCGATACATTTTAATATATCAAAAACATTAAGCCACATAATTTTAAAATCAATCCAGTAATGACAGAAAAATTGAGTTGGTACGACCATGTATGCTTGCACAATTGAATGACTTTTCTCTTGTTACTTTATCCCAGCTGCAAAAAGGTCACCATTGCCATTAACTTCAGAATAACTTCGGTTGTTCCGAGAGTTCCTGACACACAGGCTATCTGAGACAGCATGTGAAATGCTAAACAAATGACACAAAAGCCGTTAAACCTCTAAAAATAAGAGAAGGTGATAGAAGTTCAAATTTGAAAATGTGAAGTTTAAATTAAATAATTGACATTTATTCAAACCACGAAAAATAAAGGACGTTTGAAAAACTGAAATTAGTGGAAGAAAGCAATTTGCTGAGAAAGTTAACATAAATGTGTTTTTTTCAGGTGTTCTTGCACTGGTAGTAGTTGGTAAAACAGCAAGTGATGTACACGCTGAATATGAATTATGGGTTGAAACGGAGAAAGATACAGATTTCAAGCTTGGCTTTCTTTACTCTGCAATGTTGATGGGACTAGGAGGAACTTTGAACGTATTGATATTCATTGCGTTGTGTGTTCAGATTTACTACAGAAAGAGGGACATAAATGAATCTGATAGAGAGGATGAATCTGTCGGCATGACGTAAGAACCAAAAGAAAGAACATTCTCTCAATTAACGCAATAGTGAAATTTGTAATACTACGTACAGCCTTAAGAGAGTTAAGTTTCAACACTTACAGGTACAAGTAAAGGGTTTCTTTGTTAGACATTTGACATTTGCAATGTACATGTTTCTGAATTAAAATGAACCGAAATGTTCCACGAGTTAACAAAATAGAGAAAACGGGATCACTAAAGAACGCCAAAACGACAAAATTGAAAATGTTGCAGGCTCGGTTTGATTGAGCTTGTTCATGGATGGTACTGGAAAGTGCAAGTTACCGTCCGCGCCCCACTAGCACCGGCTTAAACAGAAAACAAGAAGCTGTCTTGTATTGATTTTATGTTTTGAATCGGTTATACAGATGTTTTTGACGTAAAAAATAGTAAAAAGCAACTAAAGACTGTTTCATTCTGTCAGAACACAATATACGTATCATTATACTATTTTAGATAAATGAGGCGTGTCATGACAAAACCAACATAGTGCGTTTGCGACCAGCATGGATCCAGACCAGCCTGCGCATCCGCGCAGATGCTGTTCGCTATCAGTTTCTCTACTTGCTATAGGGTTTGTAAGCGAACAGCATGGATCCTGATCAGATTGCGCGGATGCTCAGGCTGGTCTGGATCCAAGCTGGTCGCAAACGCACTATGTTGGTACGTTTGTCATGACGCGGCTCAAATTTAGAACAAACCCCTAAATCCGGTAACTCATGACATTGTATATTGTCTATATCAACACATAATTGTTGTACCGTCTCATTTTCTATTTTATAAAGATTAATTAATTACAGTAACAATAAGTACTTTTTATTTCGTACAAAACATTATACATATTGTTTTATTTCTAAAGATGAATTAACATATTGTTGAAATTGTACCATTAAAGGAAATCCACTGAGGTCAAAAAGCCTAAAATTGTAAGATATTAATTTCTCACATCTATAGATCAACTGAGACACTTAAAATGGAAATATTTACAAACTTTTAATAATATACTCAGAAAAACATTAAAATCGTATGCTTTTGCTATTTTTTTTAGTCCGAATTGAGTGAAAAGCGTTGCAACGCTTTTGAATTTTGGGTAATTTTTCACAATAAGAATAGCTATTCTGGAAAATTGGATCAGCTTATGATCTTAAAGTTTGCACACAATTAAGTTGTTGGTATAGACTACATGAAACTGAGTAATAATCTCGAAAAATTATTTTCAGTCCCGTCATGTCAAAAAAATCTCAGTGGAGTCCCTTTAATCTATGGCATCCATATTGTTATGAATATTTGGATTAAAAGTGATCACCGGAATAATTAAATCAGGAAAATTACATAAAAATTGCAGACCCGGTTTGGACGAGTCTGTACATGAGGGATAATGACAAAGTGCAACATCCCTCACCCCCCTGGCACGGGCTTGAACGTCACTCATTTTTTTTGAAAAAAGTTTAATAACATGTACATTCAAATGATGATCAGACACGTAGTATGTCGTAGAATCATCAGCGTACATGTATACATGTTGTACATGTGTATTACCATTGTTGTGGCTAATGGTACATGTATATAATAAAAATATAAGTGAACAAAGAATGGAACCTTGATAAAAGATATTTACAACTTGTATTTGCATTGGTTCTCTTATTTAGACAAGTTTTGGAAAACTTGACTTATTGTTCTGAGAAATTAAAAGTTATAACTCATGCAACAAGCAGTGTAATAATTTTTCTCTCGTAATTATCTTTTAAGACTGTGAAATATGATGCGGGTTTGGCAATAGGAGTTCTATCCGAATCCTTCTTTTTACGAATAAATGAAACGAAACATCACATGAAAATTGCAGACTCGATTTTATTGAGACTATTTATGATGAATAATGAAATGAAGCGCAAATGTCAGGCTGTCCAGCACCTTCTTACAAAAAATAGGGCAATGTTTTGGGCAATATTTATAAATTTTAGGGCTAAAATTAGGAATTTTAGGGTACATAAAAGCAATGCTAGGGCTAATTTGGAATTTATTTACTAAACTATGACCCAAAAAGACCATGATATGGGCTTACCTTTGCATATTTAACACACAAGTATCTCGCAAAAATGTTCTAGTTTTGTTATAGTAAAGGTATCTACCAGTGTTCCACAGTCATCAGGTGTTGTTGGCCACATCCTTTATAAATTTCATATCTGTCATGCCTTTTTATTTGTCCACAATTTGATAATATAAGACAACAATACATGTATCTGTTTAATTGGTATTAGGGAAAACTTGAACTTTTTCATACTTAATGAATATTGAGCATCATCCTACATTAAAAAGTTTAGGATTGTATGTAACCAAACTTATGATTAATATTGATATAAATTGATTTGGTTTCAAAGATTTTTTCTAGACATTAATTACGTATATGTGAACGTAAGTTCATGCATAAAAGTTTATTGTATTGTGTTTCATATTGATTGATATTGACAAAAGATTTTTCTCAAGAAAAATACTATGTTAACAAAGGTTGTTGTTTTCTTCATGCATAAATCGAGGGACAGGACGTGAAGTGGTTGCACACCAGGTTCAAGCGAGACAAATTGTTGCAAACTTGACAAAATGACTACCGAGTCATGAATATTTACATCAACGGCACGTATTTTCTACAGGTAAGTGGGGTTGTATCTTATTTTGAAATTTATTATAAGGCAATGTTTTTGACACACTCGGTTTTGGGTTTCAGCTTTCTAGCTTTTGATTTGACGAAGTTATTGAAGATATCAACTGGTCATGTTCATATTTTGCGAGTTGACAAGTGACAATTCTGATCTGAATTCACATCTTTAAGTTTTTAAAGTCACTAAACAAGACAATGTATATTTCTGTCAATCGTTTGTATCTTTTTTAATTTGCATGTTTCAAATAAAGTTTCAGTACACAAAAAATCTTGGCCAAACGCATTTTGGTTGCAAACTGATCCTTCAAGCATTTCTGATTGCAAACTTTTGAGTCAATGTAATTGCCCTCTAATTGCGTGTTTGATGAAATAATTATTCTTAATATTATGGTATTTTTGGCATTTAGTGCCATTATAGTCAAATATGAAACACATATATTATTTGTTTTGTGCCAGTATGAGGTCAAGAATTGGTGGTAAATATAGAGTGAATATTAATTGCACTATTTTCAAGTTTGGCATAGCCTAGAATGAAAATAAATAAGGATTGCTGACAAAGCAAAGAAACGAAATTACATATTTTGTGGTCCAGATTTTTATACTTCACAACAGCAGGTGTCACGTGCCGCGTGGCAGCTGTAAAACGTGTACTTCACTGTAGTGTTGATATATTTTCTGGTCCTTCGGGATCATTGATTCCAGCACTAAAATGGAGTACCGCTCAAGCCGGGGCTAGGGGCGTTAGAGATGTGGCACTTTTTTAAATTTCACCCTATGGGAGAACTCGTGTAGGAAGGCCATCTGAAACCAAGCTCCCTGATACAAGTAGGTCATATGGAGTCAATTACTTGTTAAAGTAAATTTTCATATGCACAACTGTAAAGTTGTTTTGACTCCAATTTTTTACAATTGTACACAATGAAAGAATGACGATGAGCTCATACCATAATGCTCAATATGATTCAATAAGTACCAAAAGGATAACAGTTCGGACGGGATTCATTGCCTTATAAAATTTGTAGAATCATTCAGAAACCCCTAAATTGTCAAAGCCGTATAATACATTTTAAAAGAAAGTGAAATAACACAATTTTTAAAAAGTTGTCAAGGAAATATCTGTGACCAATAAAAATGATCTTCGGTGAATCCTTTAGCAGTTTTATATTTGACTAAAAATGGTAAGAAATTAAGTTTGCAACCAAAAATGCTTGAAGTATAAGTTTGCAATTAAAATGTGCTTGAACAAGATATTTTTGTGTATAAAACCTTAATTTGGAACATGCAAATTAAAACATTAACACAAGACTGACAGAAATATACTTTGTGTTGTTTTAGTGAACTTCAAAACTCTCAGAGTGTGAATAAATGAAAAAATGTCAAATCGCAAAGTAAGTACGAGATCAGTTTATATCTTCAATCAGAAGCTAGGAAACTGAAACATAAAAACCGAGTGTGTCATAAACATTGAACTAAGCAATAGGAATAACAATAAATTTCAAAGTTAAAAAATAGGGCGTTTTTAGGGATTCTCTTTCAATTTTTATTTTTTTAAGGAATTTTAGCCAAGCTGAAAAAAAAGGATTTTTAGGAATTTTAGGGACGCTGGACAGCCTGCACTGTTAGACGGTTTGTTCCAATTATTTGTTTAGATTTATTCATTCTTTGAAAGTGTGCATTTATAATTTTATGAAAGATATGGAACGTCTTTAGCGTTTATATTATTTTTCGCTATTTTTCCTATTTCAACAAGGAATTGACTAGTATGCACCAGAGTTTCCATAATTTTCCGTTAAACTCATCGGACATGTAGCAATACGTGCTAATAAAAAATCATCAATAATTAAAGAAGTGCCCGTTCATTATATTTTCTTCTTGTATGCCTCCATATCGATGTCCGAAATAAAATAAAAAGATGAGAACGGAGCCCTTTTTACAGATCTTTCACAAAACCTGTTGTATAAAAATACTGTCTTCCTCCACCGTTAAAGCTGGCACGTCGCCATATAACCTATACTGTGTCGGCGCGACGTAAACCCCAATTAAACAAACTAACAAATGTATCAAACTACAGTCAGATCACCTCAGTGTTCTCGTTTACATCCTACAACAAAATGAGACAATATTTGACAGTACATGAAATAAATACACAAAACTAAGCTGATATCATTTCCAAAACATTTTATTACAACATTTAGCACGATAGATAGAGGCCATACAAGATTTAATATACATTAAATAGTTAGTCCAATTATTAGGGCAAGGACACTTGCAAATTATAGCTCAATAATGTACCGAGATAAAAAAGCATTTCTGATACTTGAAAATACGTGTAAGCAACACTCTATAGATTATAAAAAAACATTTTGAAAAACATGCTATAAAGCCTCAGAGACATCTAATATACAGTATTTTAACGTCGTCTCTGAAAGCCTACATACTGTTATCATACCATAAATAAGGTGCGCAACAAAGCCAAAATGGGTTCGCAATGGCATGATAGTACAGTTAATAGCCAGATGTATATATTTTGATATTTACTACGGCCAATATTATTGTTGTAGAAGTACCTTTAGAAGATTCAATAGGTCTGATAAATGTTTTCTTTAAACTTTTTTCTCATAACTCGCCGGTAAATGCATTCTGGTTAAGAATGGCAACAACCTTAGAAAAGGACACAAACACCAGTAATCTTATATCTTTCTCTCTAATCTGGATTCGTTTTAGAACAAAATCAATTAAACAATTCAAAAATAAAGAAATGAACGGCGCCATGACAAAATCAACGTAATGCGCGCAGTCTGATCAGGATCCATGCTGTTCGCTATCAGTTTCTCTACTTGTAATAGGGTTGGTAAGCGAACAGTATGGATCCTGATCAGACTGCTGAGTGGCTGGATCCATACTGGTCGCAAACGCACTATGTTGGTTTTGTCGTGACGCAGCTCAAAAAAACATCAACGATACCGGTATAAAATCTTCATTTCACCAATGATATGTAACCCAGTGAGCATTGCATTATCTAAAAAACAAAATCATGCAGCAAACGAAAGTTGCGAAACCTTTGATTTACTGGTGAATATGCCAGACCTGAAACCTGACAATTTGAGACAAGGAGTATCTCCAAGAGGCACACACGATCAAGAAATATTGAAATCAAAAGCATCCATGGGCAGTTGCTTTATTAACAATTTTGCACAGAAAAAAAATCTAGACCTACTTCATGGCATTTCCATTGGTGGACAAATCTCTTATGGAAACGTATACCAAAAGAAAGTCGACTTGAATATAATTGAAATAAAATTATCATAGCACGAGAACCAAACTTCAAGTCTTCTTGCTTAAAAAACGTTTTCGATGTAGCGTATTGAAAAGGTGTTGTCAAGATTTTTGCCATTTTAAGGCAATGCAAAAAGTTTGAAATAGAATTAGCAGTTTTAAATAGAATTAGCAGAGTATTTTCAGACAGAAACAAGTTTCTTAAGAGGTTTACAAGTTATTTCGACAACCTTGTCATTGCTTTTTGGATAATTCTACATTGGTTTCATATTTAAGTGGTGAAACTAAGTGTCATGCTGGTGTTTCCAATTGTTTTTTTTTCAGATTGCTTAATTTTTTGGTGATGGTGTTGAAATGTGTTCTAGATAACGTTTCCAGATTGAGAAGAATTAAGATTATAAAATTATATATTGTTGCTTGGGTTGTCCCCTTGCTAGTCTGCTGCCTTTCTTCACACACACACACAAAAACGTTGACGAGTTCCTTGCTTAAACCTCAGTATGATCATTGTGAAATATATCTATGTCACCCTTTGGCAGTCAGCTATGATGATTGCTGCTTACAAAAACCAATGATTTCTCGAAGTATGCGTAAATGGCAATAACAAATCAAACACGCCATGCTTGTACCCAACGCATCATTCCGCCTATGGCATCATCCATGTAAGGCTAAATTCACCTAACTGACTGCACTTTCACACAGTCTACATTATGAACATGTCAAGAAAATGCTTTTTTGAACTCCTCGTGAATTGGATAGAAAGTTAATGTTTGAAAGACGAAAAAAGGGTTACTTCAAGACCTTTGATGATCAGCTTCCAATTCGTCAACACGGCGGTCGACAGTAATAGTAAAGAGTATCAATGATGGGGATTAGCCTTAATTATAAATATTTTAAGGTACCACGTGTCATTATTTGGAGTCTGCTGTCATTCCAACAGATTCTTCTCCGCCGCTACCGCCAGTGTCTTTTTTCCTGAACAAAATTTGAACACACAATACAATGAAGGCCAAACAGTTCAGAGCCCCTCCAAGTCCCATCAACAATTCTGAGTAAAGCAGACCAAGTTTGAAATCTGTATCTTTCTCCGTTTTAACCCAATTGTCATAAGCCTTGTGTACGTCACTTGCTATTTTACCCACAACAACCAATGCAAGAACTCCTGTAATGTAAAAGAGCATTATCTCAAAAAAATGAGGTATGCAAACAAAGAAATAATGTGATAAAAATTTCATGGATGAAAGTGAATCAGAAATGCTTTACTTTAAACAGAAGAAATTTAGAGGGAAATAACTTTAAAGAATAAAAGATTTTAGAAATAATCAAAATCTGCCACAAAGAAGTGATTTGTCTAGTAACATCATTAAGTGTATTGTTAAACAATCAAATAAAAGACCATACATTTAAACACCTAAAGAATTAACAACTAACACAATCTACTGAATGTCATTTTTTACATAATCAAAAACTAAACCATTGATTACGAGCCTATTTTAATATAAATGTACATGTATTGTATAGAATATTTCTACAAATTTACCAGAATGTTCAACACATCATAAGTCATACAGTATGCTCACCGATTCTTTATCTATTTAACATTGAATGTGATGTGACGTAGAGTATATTACCACCATGTGTATTATGATAAACCTTTGGAAAAATGGAAAAGTTGGAAATGGATGAATACTTAGTACTTTGTTTCTCAAAGCAATTAAACAATTACATATACTCTGTTAAATAAAAAATCAAAGCACAGAAGGCGCTGAATTTGTTTGGGTCTCAGAATGTAAGAAAGGTGCAGGTTGTGAGATTATATGTTTAGTGCCACCAATGCTTTCCAGCGTTTTAATTGTAGTAAATTGGCTATTAGACTAATTGCAACACTGATATTCAATCCAATGTTTATTTGACTTTAACAATTTAAAAAAATGAGTAACCTTTACTGGGATTTGAACTCCAGACCTCTCGCTTCCTAAGCGAGCCCGAAAACCCTTCAGCCACGGTGAATTTATATGTGAACGGCCTGAAGAAAACCATATTATTCTAAATTAGGGCTTGTAACGACTTTAACTGTTGTTTAACACAGATGTAAATAATCCTGGAGCTTACTATAAGCATGTATATTTATAAAGAATCAAACGGCTGCAAGTTCTGTGGTATTTTCTGATCTTTGCAATCGTACTGTATATCTGTATGCATTTTCCTGTATAAGTTTATTTTTATGTATTATAATTCCTTTTGTAAGGCACCAGAGTTTGATACTCTTAGGCTAAACCTGTTGTTTATAATTGAAGTAGATATTTTAGCAAAAATCCTCTCGCCCAAACGGTCTGGCATGTAGAATCTATATATTCCACTACTCGGTTTGTGTAGTATTCGGTAATCAACATGGCTAAAAATAGTATTTTCATTGATAAAATCATATTCATCCGCGTAATTTGTGATTGTGCATTTATTGACAATTCTATAAGCCAACGCTATTGTTTAACTTTAAATGCGTTGTAATTTGTTGGATACTTGTAACAAAATAAAATATTTCTTTCTTTTAAATCGCTAGTTTTTAGCTGTTTTGAGAACTACTTGTTGTTAGGTTTGTAGTAAACTTCTGTGTCAGAGATTGAATGTCCGCTTTGTATTTAGTTATTTTCGATCAGAAAATACAATAAAACAATATTAGAAATCTTTGACCATTCGGGAATTACTTTGCTTGAAAATTGATGCGCCTGTCTTTGACCATCTTTACGCAGTGATCTCCCCTGAATTTTTCGGCTTTAGTGTACATACAAAAGGGAAGTAACCGCTCCAAAAAATTGGACTACTTTCGGCATTTGCAATTAGCAACATTAGACTCTGAAATTTCGCTACCATTATTTGTTTGGTCTGACGACCCAAACAAATAAAAACCTGAGTGGATATAATAGCATGACGTTTATAATAAAAGGGCACTCTATTCTCACTCACCACTGCCAATGGTTGCCAGCATAGACGCAAAAGCCTGTGATGTTATATCCCTCTGAAGTCTGACCCTTCTGATGTACACCAAGATTACAATTGGACAGAAAATGCTGAAAACCACAGCTACGGTCGCTATGAGCTTGTATGTATCGAAAGTTTTTCGATCTTCTGAAAAATTAAAATAAAATGGAAACAATGAATTATATTATATAGATCTAACTTGAGTTTTGACCTGAAGATTTAAAGATTCTACTTAACATTGTAATACATTGTATTATTAGGATATCAAATTCGTTATCAACGTTTGGTCACGTGAGAGAAGACGCAATGAGAACTGACTGACCGACCACCGGCCGGCCCCGCCCGCCCGCTCGCTCTCTCACTCACTAGCTCGAGTCACAATTTACCTTATACCTCAACATGGACGACATTTTTCTCTTTAATAAAGAGCATTTATATTTGTATGTAAATGCCGTATGTTTGAGCCAATTAAATTTTGTAAGCTAATTTAGAGATTGACTCCTGTCAGCGCTAGTCCTAAAATTGTAATGATAATACAATGTACTGAACACTTTACTAAAATCTCGGAGTCACTTCTTCCTATGGGATGAGACTCGGTGGATCTACCTGAAATACAGGTCTTAAAGCGCCTTTCGATGGGTAAAAAGGCCAGAGTATAGCATTTAATCATTCAAGCGCCGTGTCCAGTATATACAGGAATGCGGTGCTCCAACACTTTTTAGTCTCACTCTTGGTCATATGTATTGCTATTATGGGTCACGAACTTGCAGCAATATAAAGAATTTCAGTACGTTACGCTAACTAACTATTGATTGATTAAAACTGTCAATAGAATTATCGTATTATTTTAAGTAGCCTATTAAAAGAACCACAATGAAAGAATGACTTTTGTGATGTTTAACGGCCCATGTAGCGTGTGATAAGTGCTGTGTTAACTTAGTTAAAGTTGCATTGTCCAGAATGTTTTGTTCAGAAACAACAGTTGTAGCTCACCAGAACCTAATGTTAAAGATCAGCTATTAGTATCAAAGGGAGATGCTCGGGCGTCGGTGTCAACATTCATCTTCTTCTCTGAAAATGCTGGGCAGATTAACTGAAGCATCCTTGTGAAAGTCACAATCAAATTTTCTCATATCATTTCAATTGGCCCTTTTAAGGGGTCAACAGAGCTCAAAATAGAAAAGCCTTTAAGAAATACTTCTACTGAACTAATTGATGAATGATCATCAAACTTTGTCTGTAGCATTCTTAGGTAGTCTTTTATCAGATTTGCTTAAATAATAATAATTTTTGATGGATAATAATTTGATGGATGATCACGAAACTTTGTCTGTAGCATTCTTACGCAGTCTTTTATCAAATTTGATCATATTTATTTGATTGGTCCCTTTTAGGGGTCGCTAAAGCTAAAATTAGAAAAATCGTTAAACATCTTCTTCTACTGAACTAATGGATGGATGATCACCAAACTTTGTCTGTAGCATTCTTAGGTAACCTTTTATCAAGTTTACTACTATTAATTTGATTGGCCCCTTTTAGGGACCTCTAGAGCTAAAAATAGAAAAACCTTTAAACAGCTTCTTCTACTGAACTAATTGATGAATGATCACCAAGCTTTGTCTGTAGCATTCTTATGTAGTCTTTTATCAAATTTTTTCCTTATATTAATTTGATTGGCCCCTTTTAGGGACCTCTAGAGCTAAAAGTAGAAAAATCTTTAACAACTTCTTCTACATACTGAACTAATTGATGGATGATCACCAAACTTTGACTGTAGCATTCTTATGTAGTCTTTTATCAAATGTGCTCATATTAACTTGATTGGCTTTTTTTAGGGGCCGCTAAAGCGTAAAAAATCTTTAAACATCTGCTTCTACTGAACTAATTGATGGATGATCACCACACTTTGTCTATACATGGCATTTTAGGTAGTCTTTTATAAAATGCGTGAGTTGACATGCTTTACTTGCCAGATTTAGGCCTACAGTAAGCCTACAGTAACAATGAATTTTGGCCATTTGTGAAAGGTTACTTTCTTATTATGAAGAAAGAAAATCAGTGTCGTGAAACTATATTACTAGAGAGGTAAATTGAAGTTGAGCTTGATTTGGCTTTTGGCAAGTTCATTTGAAACATTATTTCTAACACTGGAAAATAGTTGTTTCAAGTGAGCGATTCGGGGCTATCATGGCCCTCTTGTTTTCTATTTTATTATCTTTGCATGTAAATTGACGGGGAAACTCTTTGATAAATTGTTTTTGAAACTCTTCAACATTATACAGATAGAAATTACAAAATTCAGAAATCTAGCTGTAACTTTTAGCAGACGTTTTAAAAATATGCATATTTAATTAATGTACCACGAGTTATATACTGCAATCAATATGTTATACTACTGAACCAATTGGTGCATCATAACGCTATTCTTAGTATATGTAAAATATCAAAAGTGCGAAATTTCAGTCAGACTGTTGATGCATTTAAGTAGAACTAATGAAAACAAGAGGGCCAAGATGGCCCTAGATCGCTCACCTGACCCATCGAACTCATCCAAATAATTACCTAGACAAACATTCTGACCAAGTTTCATGACAGGTGAGTCAAAAATGTGACCACTAGAGTGTTAACAAGGATGATCCATATTTGAGCAGTGTGACCTAGATTTTGACCCCAGGTGACCCATATTCAAACTTGACCTAGAAATCATCAAAAAAAACTTTCAGACCAATTTCCAGGATATTTGGATCATAACAGTAGCCACTAGAGTGTTAACAAGATTTTTCTATTTTTAGCTCCTGTGACCTAGTTTTTCATCTGAGATGACCCATGTTCGAACTCATCCAAGCAATTACCTAGATAAGCATCCTGACCAAGTTTGATGATGATCGAGTCAAAAATGTGACCGCTAGAGTGTTAACAAGGTTTTTCTTTTTTTAGCTCCTGTGACCTAGTTTTTCCTCTGAGCTATTATCAAGATAAGCATCCTGACAAAGTTTGATGATGATCGAGTCAAAAATGTGACCACTAGAGTGTTAACAAGGTTTTTCAATTTTTAGCTCAGGACTGTGACCTAGTTTTTCATCCGAGATGACCCATGTTCGAACTCATCAGAGCAATTACCTAGACAAGCATCCTGACCAAGTTTGATGATGATCGAGTAAAAAATGTGACCGCTAGAGTGTTAACAAGTTTTTTCTTCTTTTTTTTAGCTCCTGTGACCTAGTTTTTCATCCGAGCTATTACCAAGATAAGCATCCTAAGCAAAAGTGTGATCGCTAGAGTGTTAACAAGGTTTCTCTATTTTGAGCTCCTGTGGCCTAGTTTTTCATCCGAGATGACCCATGTTCGAAGTTATCCGAGCTATTACCTAGATAAGCATGTAATAGCTAGATAAGCATCCTGACAAAGTTTGCAAAAATGTGACCGCTAGAGTGTTAACGAACAACGGACGGACGACGGACATTCAACGATGAGCTAGCTCAGGTGAGCTAATAAAAAATCAACAGCTTTTCTCTATATGTTACTTAGTGTGTGCAGAAACTCATTAATTTACCACTGTTGTACAGCCCAGTTACCTTTACTCCAGATCACCGCACTACTAATGTACCCAATTTCACACTCTTCCGTGCAAAATCGTTGATACCAAAGGCCTATGCTTGCAGAAAATGTTATGTTAGCATCGCTTGTCCCAGTAAATACCAACCATCCCGGTGTGGCATATCCGGCTGCCTGCAGTATACCGGCTATTAACGTTACAATAAAAAGTCCAACGAGAATATTTGTGTTCTTTGCAATTAATCGAATCACACGATCGCGCTCATAATCCATTTTGTATAGTATTCATGTAATGAAAACACGGGCGTGTTGACAGTTTATAGGGTTAAGGTTAGGTTTAACATAAATATACATATGTTTATAGCACTTCGCGTTCTCACAGTCGTGATATATTTATCCTAATTCGAATATATGCAGACGTTTACCACGGAATAGAAGCTACTTTTACATTGTACAAGTCCGATAAACATGAAAATGCAAAGTACATTTTGTATTTCAATGAAACACTAATTTTATCCCTGACAAATTCAAGGTTAACAAGTACAGTATATAAAGAAGATAAGTCCTTGTACACTAGTTATTATCCGTAGTATCTCACACTATGTACAGTCGGGTGTAATTCAATTCACCTGAGTGTTGTTTTAACTGAATTACTGTTTACAGCAGTAAATATGCAGATCTATGCCTAGATGTTAGTGTGTTAAGAAATCCGCCTAATCGATTTTATATCCAGACAGTATCAATAGTTGTCTCAATTCTGGGACATATAATATTATACATAGAGAGTTTTAACGATTGTCATGAAAATCTAGCTTTACATTAAAACAAAACAACGCAAAGTAAGACCAATGCGCAAATATACTGTACAAAGTTTGTTCTAGATCAACAGCGGACATAATTCGTTTCATTCTTGAAAAAAAAGAAACAGATGCCTGAAAAGATGATATTGTTTTGAAAAGAGAGATATAACTATTTGAAAAAAAGAAGATAAAAATGCTGTAGACATTCTGTTGTTTTGTTCATAAAGAGATATTTAAACATAAAACAATTTTTTTTGTTCGAGTATTTCATTACACATCTTTAAAAAAAAGAAATGGAGTCGCTACGTAAACTGTCACAAGATAAAAGTATAATTATAAAGAAAGCGGACAAATCGAATACTATCGTTATTATGAATACTGACGATTACCGACGGGAAGTTTTACGTCAACTCGAAAACAACAGCTACTATGAAAAATGTACGGAAGATCCGACAGAAATTATTAAATGTAACATATCGGAATGCACTGATAAGATTAAAGAAACAAACGACTGTATTTCAGATGAATTTGATGTATTTCCAACGAACATACGTACACCGTGTTTTTATATCTTACCTAAAACACACAAATCTCCAGACTTCACACTGCCATTAAAGTATCCGGGTAGACCTATTGTGTCAGGATGTAACTCACTGACAGAAAATATTTCAAAGTATCTCGACTTTATACTTAAACCACATATGCTTAGATTGCCATCATATGTAAAAGACACCACAGATTTCATCAACAAATTACGTAATATTAAACTACAAAGCAAAAACACATATTTGGTAACACTAGATGTCTCTTCACTTTATACTAATATAACCACATACGGATGGAACTGATGCGTGTTTGTATTATTTAAGACAAGGAAATAATAACAGCAGACTTTCGTCAGATGAAATTGTTAAACTTTTGAAAACTTATTCTTGAAAATAACTACTTCAAGTTCGGGGATGACTATTTTCTTCAGAAAATGGGTACCGCTATGGGAAGCCCAGTCGCCCCGCGTACGCAGCACTTTTTATGGGGAAATTCGAAGAGGAGTTTTTGAAAGATAGTCAGCTTAAACCGTCATTGTGGCTTCGTTTTCTAGACGATATTTTTTAATGCTTTGGGATCATTCTCTTGAAGAACTTAACACATTTATTGACAAAATCAACAATGTTCACCCAAGCATTAAATTCACCCACACCATATCTCAACAATCTGTTTCGTTTCTTGATGTTCAAGTATCAAAAGGAAAATCGTACGAACTTCAAACTAATGTTTATGTAAAGGAAACTAACAACCACCAATATCTTGATTATACATCCTGTCATCCAAAACGGTGTAAAGACGGAATACCCCACAGTCAGGCTAAGCGTTACAGGAGAATTATATCCGACGACGACGTGTTCTCTACTTCACTGAGCAAACTACGAGAATTCTTCATAAGTAGAAATTTCCCTGAGACGGTTATAGATTCAGCGTTTCTTCACGTGTCACAGATGTCACAAGAGGATGCCTTACGGCCACAAGATAAAGAAAAGAAAAACGTTCTTCCATTTATTGTGACATATAATCCGTCCTTACCTAATATTGGAAATACTATTCATAAATATTGGGACCTACTAAATCTGTCAAAAAACGAAGGTGTTAAATATATTCACAATAACTACACACCCATAATTGCCTATAAACGTCCAAGAAACTTACAAGACTTTTTAGTTAGATCTAGATTTGATACTGACAGTGACTTTACATCACATTCTGGAGGTTGTTGTAGAAAACGCTGTTCTCATTGTGTTCGTATTAATAGTGGTACGTCATTTTACAGTTCAAATACAGGAGAGATATTTGACTTACGTCAACATACTAACTGTCAAACCAAGAATTGTATATATTTGATAAACATGTAAAAAAATGTAGCATGCAGTATGTTGGTCAAACCAAACAACCTGTGTCTAAACGAATGAATAGCCATAAATTTGATATATGCAATTTTTGTAGATCCTGCATTCTCCACTAATGTTGCAAACCATTTTAATAAGGACGATCATAATTTTACCGACTTTTCATTTATGCCCATAGATGTTGTTTACAATACTTTAGATCGTTTGTGCAAAGAAACATTTTGGATTCATAAGCTAAAAACTCATTTTCCAGAAGGAATGAACACAAAGTTGTTATACTCAATTAAATAATTCATAAAATATCAATCCACGCTACAAATGCTAGACTTACGCCACATAGATATTCGTTTTTTTCCTATTATCATTTTTATAATTAAACCCCTATAGGAAATATTCGTATTTCTTAATCCGATATCTATTTGTGTCGTTTTTATATTTTGATGCTTTGTTTGGTGCACTTATCTCTTTTATCATGAATTGGAATTGTTCGTATTTGTTCGTTTTTCCGCTAAAGTGGGCGTGACGTTAATTGTAAAATTACGACGTCACGTCCGTTGATATTATTATTATTTATTTACCTTGAAAAAGGCATACATTTGCCGAAACGTTGGAAAAATAAAAAATGATATTATACGTGTTATTGCTGTGACTTTATTATTTTAATATTACACATCTTTGAAATTATTATTATTTTATTTTGAGTGCCGAAGTCAATGTCAACTAAACGACAACATGATTTTTCTAAATCATGTGATAGAGAGCTGGTGTTTATTGAATGTTTAAATTTAGATACAACTTGATCGTCAGTAACAACTTGCGAATTAGCAAATAATTTGGAAATTTTTCTCAGAACTAACAGATTTTAAACATGAGGCGCTGAAAAAAACGGACTATTTATTAGTTTTTGACAAATAGTACACGATGTAGGGCGCAGCCAGCTTAATCATTAAAGTTTAATTTTGCACCTAAAACTCAATTTTTAAAATTGAATATGACCATTTTTGACAAGTGTTTGAACTTTCTGTAGTATATCCAAAAGTTTTTCCGACGATTTCTGTAGCAGTTATCACAAGAACTCCTGACAAGTTATCATAAGAACTTCATCCCTCGTGTAACTGTTCCTCCCCCGTGACTCTTGTCAATTTCAATATTCTGCGGGGAAATAAGTATGGGTAAGAGACTAAGAGTTCGTATTAAGACGACCGTAGGGAGTCTTATCGAACTCTTACCCATATAACTGCAAATCGGCTCTTACAACTCGATATCAGATAAAAATATAGAAAGTGTCACCTCTTTAATTAAGCATAACATTATTTTTCCCCAGCAGTCACGTACAAACAAGGATGGGTCCAATTACTTAATCTGGCATGTAAAACATTGAGTTTTCAACAATACCTAGGATTGTTAATGCAATTCATTCCTGTCATATGAAACAAAATAATGTTTTGCTTACTTTTTCTAGAAAATATAAAACAGTCAGCAATTAATAATTGACATTTTTCTTGAAGTTAAAAGGATATCAAAAAAATACTGTGTTCTCATTTGTCTCTGCGAGCTGAGCTCCACGTGCATTATCTATGTAATAAATTTGAATGTATCCTCACATTGCTACAGTGTTATCAGCCTTTTTAGAAACACCTGACCTGGCTAATTAAAATATGCCAATCACAATTTTCACTATCAGCACTGGTTTCTTCATGAAAAAGCGGCTACACTAATTACTGCCGAGTAAGAGCCGATTTGCAGTTATACGAAACAAACGTTTGTTGTTCAGGCCGGGACATATAGATATATAGTAAACTGTCTTGTAATTAAAGATTCTGCTATATAGCTTCTACTTTACTGATATCTCTAATATTTCTTAATGATTTTTACATTTCATACGCAACATAGTTACCAATTAAGCATAATATTTTGATAATTTTTAAGTGGACTCTAAATTTGAAATGCCCAAGAGACGGGAATGAAGTAGCGTACATGGGGTTACTGAATTATCATTTGCCCAGGGCGTATAAAGCGTATCTCTGATGACAACAATTTTACCTCCTAGAAACCACGGATTTATATTAATCCGTGTAGAAACTGATTCACAATTTCATACCTTTAAGTAAATAAGTCAGAAAAATTTGGATTGTACAAATGGATCGACCCATGCATGAATCATTGATAGGGAATTTCAGTTGTAGTATTTGCCCTATATTACAAATGGCGTCAAAACATTCAAGGGGAGTAATATGATGTAAAACAGTGCTTCTTGAGAAACTTTTGTAACATAAGAAATTACTGAGTATTATTCTTTTTCAACAATTATCCCTTGCAAAAAAGCAAAGTTACTTGTTAACTTTTTTAAACTCGTGCATTAAAATATTGCAGACGGCCAAAGACCAAAGAACTGATGTCGTGAAGTGCCACAAAGCAACCCGCCTTTTTCCTCGAATCGGCAACCATGCGGTTTGTAAACAAATATTGAAATAAGCAGATCTGCGATATGGTAATTCAAATTTTACCATTTTCTAAAAAGAATTTCATATAACATCAATAGATGGTAATTTGGAGATTGAGGACATCATTTTGAGAAATTTTGATGCAGCAATTTTTTCATTTAATAAGATGGATACAGTATGGAGTCCGAGATTATTCACTTTATTGTGTCGCCTGCTATAAACGTATATGGATTACTTCTCTGTTGTCTGTCAGTCCGTATGACACAAATCTTATCGGGACTACTTCTCAATAACTACTGTTGCATTTACATCTAAACTTTTCAGGAATGAGTATCTGAAGTCTATTTGCTAGTCCTTCAATGAAAGACATCACATTTTCTTTTTTTGTAGGTGGCGCGATAGCTCAGTTGGTTAGACCACTGATTATCACTCCTGAGGTCCCGGGTTCGATCCTGGGTTATAACCTTGTGATTTTTCAGAGATACTTTCAGTGTTTCCCACCTAACTAGAGGTGTACTGGTAAGAAATCCAGGTAATCCTTGCATGTATCAGTGCTATACACTGGGCATGTAAAAGAACCAAGGGTCTATTCAATAAGAGCTAGGGACTGGTTCCCGGATTCCCTTGTATCTCATAACTGTCTCTTAAAAATGTATACAATGTATACCTGCTTAGAGTGATCGTAAACGATTTTAAAGCAGTATGATGTAGAACTAGAACTTAACAGTTTATCGGTTAAAGCGGATTTATCCCATGTAAAAAATAGCTTCAAATACGCGGTTACGTCTAAATATTTGGACTAGTCAAGTTGCATGCATGCATATTGTTGGCATTTTCCATTTCATGTAACTTGTAAGAATTATGGCCCTTTAATGATATTATCCGCGAGTGACCAGTTTCGACGCCCTTAAGAATTGTTTTGCCTGTGATATGTCAAGTCACGTTATAGTACTAAATAAACTGTTTTAACTTATTAATTTAGCCCTAACAGGGTTCGTACAGTCTTAAAAAGTGCTTAAATTTGAGTCCCTTTCTTTAAAAGTGCTTAAAAATGAAAAAAAGTGCTTAAAAGTCCTTGAATTTGATTACTCTCTTGAAAAGTGCTTAAAAAGTGCTTAAATATGCGGAAAATGTGCTTGAAAATTTGAAACACAGAATAACATAGTTTCGATAAAAATTAACAAAGTAAAAAGAAAATGATCCAATTTAGTATCAAAATCAATAAAATGTTTACTCAAGGTAACAGTAAGTGGGCAAATTGCAGTTGTTTTGAACTAATCTGTATTTGATGACCCTTTCTTGTTCTTCTATAAATTCCTTAAAATTGTGGTCAGAAAATGTGTATTCACCAAAAATGGCAAATAAACTACCCATCTTCGATTGAAAATTGTGTCGGTATATGTGCAACAAATGTGCTTGAAAAATGGGAAAACATGCTTAAATAGTGCTTAAAAAGTCCTTGAATTTTGGCATTGGAGATCTGTATGAACCCTGCCTAACCTTTATAACATAGATACTTTCACCAGCTTACTTTTATCAGGACAGTAATGGTTTCATAATCCACCTGGAATGGCCATTTTTTTAAGAGTGCCCTGAAACGACGCCAGTGATTGGCTTGATTTTTATCACACTATAGGAGACTGTACACGTTAAATAGTGTACTTACGTTGACCACAGCATCAGGAACGTGGACCTGCAATGTATTTAACAATTAAAAACAAGTTTTTTTCTGTTTTTATTTATTTGTCCAATATATTAGACATTACAGGCTTGTTATAGTTTATGTTGGTCAACTTGACAAGCCTGACATCTAATTGTTATTGCTTATAAACGCATAGCATCATAAAAAATTAAAAAAATGTCTATTGTCTTGCCTTTCAAGCTTTATTCAAAAGCTCATCTTCTTTTCTTTCAATTTTATGCTCCATTATAAACAAAAACTCTCAAACAATGTACTTATCAATTTAAAATAAAATATAAACATCAATCTATTTCTGTCTTAATCGGCCATACTGGTTAAGTAAGGTGCTATGCAGATTGATTCAAAATTTTTGAACAGAAAAATATATTCGAACACACTGAAGGTGCATGGGCAATTATTTCGTTAAAAAATATTCCGTTAGACTGTTCTGACGCAATTAAACGCTTGCATTTGAATTAGCCAATCAGATTTCGCACACTGTATGGGGGCCATTTGTTTATCGGCTGTATAAAGAATTTAAATACATGAGAGGATTTAATCATGATTTTTTTGATGGGACAGTTCAATTATTTTGTTAAAAGGTATTTATATTTTAATTTTGTTCATAAATAGATCAAAATTAATGTAAATTAACGCTGTCTTAATTGTTTTTCATTCTGCCTGATTTTCTGGTTGAACGTGCTGTTGGTATTTGAGCAATTTCGATAATACGTTGCTTTGCCCAGAAGCAAAAATATCTCAACGCAACATCATATTTATAGGACTATTTATTTATATGATACATAAATCATTTAAATTTTATTTTGTATTTTATTTTAGCACAGTACTTTTATAGTAAATTTACTCTTCAGTAACACAGTGATGGCACAGAAACACATCTCCCCTTCTCACTAGTCTCACACTGGTGCAATAAAGCAAGTGTACCCAGTGTCCACATTTTGTGCACTATACCCACTTGACAAATGTCAGAGAAGTACACTGATGTTATTCCTGAGGTGTAAGTAAATTACACTTACAACAAACTTCTGAGTCCTCAGGTTCAGAATCACTATTGACATATGCATTTGATGTGTTAACGGTTGGTTTCGAAGTTCCAGAAGGTCCAGGTTTGGGCTCGGGTTTCCTCTTCTGAGACTTAGGCTTAACTCTGGAAATCTCATGCTGCCTAACCTGGTCAACCATAGATTCCTCTGTAATTGCCTTGCCACTGACAACAGTGCTCGGGTACATTCTCTTCTTGGTTGCTAATTTTTTGGCAGTAATATTAGCTGCTTTGGCAGTGAAAAATTCAGAGGGTGAAACAGACTTGCTAAATGTATCTTGAATTTCAGCAGTGGGTAGAATATTCAACATTTTAAACATTACAACGCAATAAACTATTATTGGCTGATAATTAATGGATATAAAATCCTTGGATATATGCTGTCAATTTTGCTTTCACATCCTCCTATACAAAATATAACCTGCTAATGAGTAATAGGTATTCCAAGGATCATTTTATAAAACGATTCAATATATTCCTGAACATCGTAGGGCCTCAGATGGCTTGAATTTGGAAGGACTCACAACATTGGGATCATATGGATATATACAAGTCTTGCGGAAAGATGACTGCAAATTGTTGACTGACAATGCCCTATCATATGCTGAACATCCAAGTGAACAGACATTGTATCTAGTTATGCTCTGACCGCAGTGTTCATGCATAAACTTGTGACTCACAGAGTTATAAATCCTTTCAAATGGTCAAAAGCACCCAACATCAAGGGATTGCAACACATGGCTGGTATGTGCTGGCAGGATAAATAAGATAAGATTTTGTGTCTTTGCCAATTCTATCAAACCTAAATTTATATGGGACTTGTGCCCATTATACAACACAAGTACTGGACTATCTGGTGAATGTTCAGGCAAGTACTTAATGAGATGAGGTACAACGTAATGGCGGAAAACAACTCTGTTACTCCATCCAGACTCTGTGATGGTACCATCAACACCAGCCAGTCTATGCGAAAGACCTCCGAGTTTTACTGGACAGTAGGTCCTGTAAACTGAAAATTTTTACTGGACCAAACATGATTTTACTGGACCCGAAAAAAAACCTGATTGGACTATAGCATTTTGAGTCACTTGATAAGTGTCAGCAGTCAAAAAATTTGTGTACATAAAGAAAATTATATTTATCAGCAAAAAACTATGTGAAGTTATCTTTTTTTACCACAATCAAAATGTAAACATAAATATTGTTTTACATGTATTCAATGGATTTTGCAATTGAAACTTTAATTCCATACAGACTATATACTAGCAAAATGAGGGGGTAAATTTCAGCAAAAGTCTGGCATATGTACAGTCTAACTTGCCCATGCGACCACGTGTATTAAGCGACTTTTGTCTTAAACGACCACTTTAAATTCCCCCCGATCATTTTCTCTCTATATCTTTAATGTATTAAGCGACTTTTGCTCAACGCGACCAGCGACCGCTAATTAGTCACCTAATTGAGATAAAGCTTTTCATTAAACGACCACTTTTACCTGTCAAGTAATTGTGTTTTTAGAGACTAATTGAGATAAAGCTTTTCATTAAACGACCACTTTTACCTGTCAAGTAATTGTGTTTTTAGAGAACGCCGCTTTGTAATGTCACAAGTGTCAACAATCAAAACACAACAAATAAACGTGTGAAAAACTCTATTTCCCAAACAGTTTTAGCGTATGCAAATGAAGTTAAGTATACGCGTGACGTGTATTATCCAATAATATCGGATAAATAATGCAACGCTCCGCCCCTACTGAGATGGTGTATACGCTTCGCTTGTTGACATTTAGACTGCATTGAATTGACCTTGAACTTTATCAGCAATTAAATTTATCGTAACAATTAGATGTGGTTTGTTTATTTCAAATGAAAAAATGCACAAAAGAAAACATCTTCACTAATGGGGTTTTCAGAAGGAAAAACAACGGAGAAGTCAACAAATTCTGGAAAAAATGTCAAACATGTACGTAATGGATCAAAACTATTTTGCACCCCGTTTTGTCAATAAATATCAGAAAGTTATTTATTACATTTGCATCCATTTAGATTATCGGAGCGTACTAATTATTCAACATTTATATAAAAATGAAGTTGAAAAACAATCCTACCGCATAAGAAAGATGTCATTTATAAATTTTGACTTTTATATCATGCTGACTGTCTTAAGAGACCGTTTCATTAAGCGACCGTTTTGGGTCTTTCCCTTGCGCGGTCGCTTAATACACGTTTGACTGTATGTAAACAGAATTATATATATCAATAATTTAGTTCAATGATTTTGGCACCTTCACACTGGGCTGCCAG